GGTGTGCGGGCGGGTGTGCGAACCCGATCCTAAGGTGCCCTTCCTTGCTTCGCGCTTTCGTGCCTCTTACCCTTATTCGACCTGGGTGCTGGGGAAGGCGGTGGGAATCGGGTTGGGGGGGCTGGGGGGGAGACACAAGAAAAACGCCACTGAGGACCATCGTCGCCGAAAGGCCGCCCTTGGCGCCGGGGTCGGTCTTGAACCGTTCCCCACGGGCGGGGGCCTTGAACCCTGACGACGAGGGGTCTTGAACCCGTGCCTCACGTGGCCGTGGTGCTGTGCCTGCTGGGGTGCCGTGCGTGTGTCGTGACAGGCTCCGTGGGGTGCCAATGCGGTTTCGCGTTTGTGCCGAGTGGTGTCTGTCGCGAGCAGATTGCGATCCTCCCAGCCAGGACAACGAGGCCGTGACGTTGGAGACTGGCGGCCGGGTGGCGGCACCAGGGGCCCGACCCGCGCCAATGGCCAGAGCCCAAGGACCCCGACACGGGACAACAGCTGTACAAAACAGGAATCAACAACGTCAAGTGGGACCTCCCCGGGGAGGCACCCGGCGAGGCGATGCGACGACTCCAAGTCACACTGGGGCCAATGTTCATTGGCACCTGGCACGCTTTCGCCAAGCGGCAGTCGTTGCCTGGTGGCAAGGGCGCGCTCGACCCGAATCGGCACGACCCGCAAACCTGCCACCTCTTTCTGGAATCCTTCCGCAGCCACACGGGCGACGTACGGGTCCTCAGCGATGCGCTGGGCCTCGACGTCGACTGGACTCGGGCCTGGCAGCGGCGCCTGGGCCCGAGCGGCGGCGCGAGCAGTGGTCACCATGCGGCAAGGGGCCACCCGCGCAAACAGGCCCCCAGGAAGCACTGCAGACAGCGGTGGGCCGTCTCCCCACAGTAGCCTTGCTACCCCCTCGCGGCATCCCTGCGAGTTGCTACCGTGGTAGTGTCTCGACACCCGCTTCTTTCATAACTTCTACGTCCTTTTCTTGGCTGTTGTCTACGTGCTGCGTGTGTGGCTATACCGTCGGCCTCAGTTCGTTTCTCCTCTGTCTGCGTGCTGCGCATGTGGATCTGCCGTGGGCAGTTCGGTTTTCTGCTCTGTGATCCACCTTCTCCGTTGACTACGAGTTGCACACCGTACTCTGCAGCGCGATTGGGTGTCTGAGGCTTCCTCCCTCTTGGTTCCGACGGGCTGTTGTCGGACGCGCCTTGCTTCCCCATTGGAGGAAAAACGCTGCGTGGGAGACGATCGACAGGCCCCCCCGGAGCGGAAGAGACGCACATCCCGAGTACGTCGGGGGAAACGCGCTGTGTGGGTGACGGATTGACTAGTCCCCCCTGGTGCGGTCGCAATAGATTAGCAAATGACGCTTTGCGCTTCCCCCCGACGGGCGCCTGCGCCCCGTGCTTCTCCTGGCCTCCCGCCCCCCGGGACTGAGCGACGCGCTGCCCGTTCGCCCCCTTGCGCGTCGCCGAGGCCGCCGCTTCGGCTCGCTGGCTGCCTTGTCGGTGCGTGGTTTCTCTGTTGTCCGGGGCGCGCGTGCTTCAACTAGGAAGGCAGAGGCCTGTGGTGTGGGGATCCAGGGCATCACGAAGTGTCAGCACTGTCCTCCGCCAGTGGTCTGGCGCGTGGTTCCCTCCCCCGCGGTCGCTGAAGACCCCCCACTGGGATCGATGGAGGGGCCGCAGAGGTGCCTCCGACTTTGGACGGTCGTTCCCCCCCCTGCGGTCACTGACGGCCTTCGCAGGAAGCGGCGCAGGGATCACAGCGGTGACTTCGACCGGTGTTGCCCCCCCCGTGGTCACTGAAGACCCTCCACAGGGGGCGGTGGAGGGATCACAGTGGTGACTCCGACCACGCAGCATTGTCAGAGGTGCCGCCTCTTCCTTCTCTTTCGCTTTGCACCTCGCGCGCTTCCCCCCGACGATGCTGCCATGGAGCAGGGACCGCGTTCCCCAGCAGTGGTCAGGCGCTCTGTTCCCTCCACGGTCGAGGTCCCACATCGCGTGGTGGAGAGATCGCAGTGGCCAAGGTCTCGCAGCATAAGCATTGGCGTCGTCTCCTCCTCCTCTATTTATTCACTGGATTGTGCGGCTATCGGCTGCGTCTCCTCCTCGCCCCCTCCTCCTCCTGTGGATTCGGCGACGCACCGTTTCCCCCCTGCCGAGGCTCCTCTGGAGCACTCGGACTCTTGCCACTTGGAGGCTCCCTGGCGGAGCTCCGAGGTGCGGTCGGGCCGCGCTGCTACCAGGTGTTGTTTCGGGCAACTCGGGCCTGCTGCCAGCCCCGGCACCACCGGGGGCCCGACCTGGGGAGTGTGCGGACCCGACAAGTGGTACACCCTTTGCTCGACTGCCGACGTTCCCCCTTCTGGTCCGCCCCTGCCCCCGGTCGGCGCTCGCCGCTTGGTTCCCCCATCCATCGCGATGGTTAAGCTGCCTGCGTTGTTCGCCGATGACTTGGTCCACCTCGCTCGGCGGGAGCCACCTTCGTGCTCCTGGTACTGCACAAGTGGTTCATCCTTTGGCAGTGCTCCAGCCCTCCTGCAGGGTGGTCCATGGCGCTCGGCCATGCCTGCTGCTGCGTCCCCCCGTTACTGGGTCAGGCAGTCACAGGTTTCGGACTCCGCGACTGGGTCGACGTCTCCGTGCCTTGGTCGGTTGCTCATGCCTGATCGCGCCCAGGAGTCCATGTGAGTGAGGCGTTCCTCTGCTCCCCCTCTTCTGCCCGCGCGTGCTCTCGCCTTCCTCGCCCCCGCCGCTTCCTCGCCTCCGCCTTTCCTCGCTCTTTCGCCTCCTCGTCGTGATGGACGGTGCGGCCTCTCTGGCCCCCCGTGCTGCCACAGCGCAGCGTGCCCACGCCAGTGCGCGCTGGACAGTACGGTCCGAGTTGGCGCCACTGTGCGACTCCTCCTCCGTCTGTTTCCTTCTGGTGCCTGCGTCCCCGCTCTTGGGTCGCCCGCATCCTATTGGGGGGCATTTTGTCCCTGGCACGTGCACTTGTTGCGTCGGCCTATGCGCCGTCGTAGCCAATTATCTCGCGTTGCGCCCCCGCCGAGACCGTCCCGCTTCCTGGATCTGTCCTCGGAGCCGTCAGTCAAAAAAATATCCCTACCAGTGGCCACTGCGGCCAATTAGCTTCGTTCGCGCCCCGTTCGTTGTTGACTCGCTTCTTGACCTTTGCCTTGGAGCCGTTGACCAAAAAACGTATCCCCACCAACATCGCGGCCCTTTTCCTGCGACCCGCCTGCGACAGCACTGGCTTGCGCTCTTTTCGCGGCATCCTGACGCCGCGCGGGTGCCCGCTCACCGTCATCCCCACCAGCCGCTTTTCTGTTGCTTACCGCCTGGTCGGTTTCGCGGCCTCTAGCGTGCCGTCGCCCACTGTTTTTCTATTCGTTACCGGCGCGGCCCGCCTTAGCACGCTCGGCGTTCGACTCGTTTCGCGCGCCCGCGGACCAAAAATCCCCACCAGCCCTGGGCTTGCGTGCCGTTGCCCGCGCTGGTTTTCCCTTCGCTGCCGGCGCGGCCCGCCGTGGCACGCTCGGCGTTCGATTTGCTCTGCGCGCCCGCTGACCAAAAAGTATCCCCATCAGCCCATTCAGAAACTTTGCCCCTGAGAGTTGACCTGGACAGGAACGAAGAGACACAACTAGTGAAACAAAGCGGGTACCCAGAGTGAGCAGAGATATCGTTGGAGCAAGAAGGTGGCTTTGGAGGACCCCTTCGGACCATCTCGGGGGTCCGCGTGGGGGCGAGGGAAGTAGAAGGAGGAGGAGGAGGAGGAGGAGGAGGAGGAGGAGGACGAGGACGAGGACGAGGACGACGACCACGACGACGAGGAAGAGGGAGAAAACGAATATGATGAAGGCACGGACGAGGACGAGGAGGAGAAGGGGGAGGGGGGGGAGGAAGAGCACAACGATGACGAGGAGAGGTCGTTCAAAATCGCCTCTTGGATCCCTCTTAGATCTCTTTTCAACAAATCGTTGGGTCCTGTTGGGGCTCTTTTGAAGAAACTTGGTGTCCTCTTTGGGCTCTCTTGGGGGCCTCTTAGGGGCCCTGGAGGGCCTCTTGGGGCTATCGTGGACAGCGTCGGTGAAAAGAAAGGGGCCCTGTCGTTTGGTTCCCCCTTTCTGGGGCCTTCGACATCGGCTCTTGGGGCGCTCTTGAGGCGATCTTGGGCGCTCTTGGGGTCTCTCGGGCCATCTTGCAGCCATCTTGCGGCCTTAAAAAAACACATCAGAAGCGAAAAGGCGAGAATGCAAGCATCACTGATTCATCTGAGGTGTTCGAATGATTTTGGCCTCGTAGAGGTGGTCCTGAGGGGGCTTCGAGAACACTTGGATTTGTCTTGTGGCCCTTGTCGGCCTTCTTGGAGGCATGCCGGAAGCTATCTTGAACTATCTACGGCTATCTTGAGCCTTTTTGGATGCCATTTTAGAGCATTACATTCCCTCCAGGAGCCGTCTTGGTCATCCAGGGCGCCCTGACCGATCGCGACCCCCCCAAAAAACCTTAAGGAGGGGAGGGAAGGGGGAGGGCACCTGTCCCCGAAGGGAGGAGGGCTTGGTGGATGAGAACAGAAATAGCTCGCTAGACCACCTTAGCCGAGAGGGCTGGTGGGATTCACAAGGGTGTGTGGTCTCGGAAGCGCGAACTGGAGGCGAAGGAGGAGGAGGTGGAGGAGGCGTCTGGAGCGCGACCGAGCTGTGATTTGCAAGGGATGTCGGCATCGCGAGGGCACACGCAGTGGTAATTTTCTAGGAATTAGCCCCAGGAGCGCGAGCCTGTCGGAATTCAAAGGGAGTATGATCCCGGGAGCGCGTTTCGGCCGTAGTTTACAAAGGGATGGTGGGCCGCACCTGTCGTTTTATACGTGTTTCGGGCCACCTTCCGGTAGCTTTGGCTCAGGCAGTGTCCCACGATCACCTCAGGAGATATCTTCTACTCTGTGCTGTGCTTCTCGTGAGCTGTGCTGCTCATTATATGGCACGCCATATGCATGCAGGAGGGCCTTGCGATTGCCTGGCCACCAGCATCCCCAACTTGGGTCACCTTGGAGAGGCCCCTGGTGATGCTGACGCTGATTCAGTCGTGCCTCAACTGGCAGCCGATGGCCCCGGCAACCCAAAGAGGAGGAAGATCAAGATCCTGCAGAAGTTCTGCAAGCAGCTGTCGGTGAAGTGCGACTCCATCTCCTACTCGGTGACGCCAGATACAGAGGATGACAATGGCGAGGCCAAGATTGGTTTCTACGGAGATGTGAAGCACGTTATCGCCGGGAACGCTCCTGCCGACCTGTTGCAGAAGGCCATCGATGCGCGGACATTCCGCTACGCGTTCGAGGCTGCGACGGTCGCGCCCGTGGGAGACGACAGTGCCCATGGGGAGATGGTTGCATTCAATGGCGTCTGCTATATCCGTTCCACGCGCCTGGGCACCGACGAGTATTACAAAACAGTCAGTGGAACTCACATGAGGTGTCCAGCCGTCGGCATGGTGTCGCCCGCCAACGCCGTCCCGCACGCCAGAGCTGCGACATTTCATGGTGGCATGACCTTCACATCAGCTGTGAACGACATCTTCGCGACTGTCAAGAAGGGGTGCGACGCTCCCGCTGTGGCATTCGGCGGTATCGTCCAGTTCCACAAGCTAGTGGCAACGGCGATCGCGCGGTCCACAAACGAGGGGGAGGACATATTCAAACACAAGGAGAAGTACTATCCCTTCCCGCCCTCCGTTCTCTTCGACAAGCGCTGTGTCGTATTCGGCATGGTCGGCGACATGGATGACGCGGAGAAAAAGGGCGTGAAGAATTTGGACAGGGTACTGTACAAAGGTCGGGCTGGACGAAAGGGTAGGATAGGGACAGGGGGGACCACGAAATCTGCTGCATGCAGCTGGTTTCCGCCCCGCTGCCAGGCCCATTCCTCGATGCACGGGCGCTTCGTGGCGCCAAGAGGCGTCAGGAAAACAAGCTACGTGAGCTGATTCTCTACTCGGCCCGTTGCCATCCTACCCTTCCAGCCCCCCCCCCCCTGGAAAGGTGCGTCCGGCACAGCGGGTGCGGGCGCCGCGACCGACCTGACTCTGCACGCGCACGTGGCCGTGCTGCACCCGGCCTGCACGGCCAGGACAGCGCAGGAGGTTCGGCCCGAGGACGTGACGGACTGCTACCACCTCGATTTCTCCAGCATCGTGGGTCATTTCGAGCTGGAGCTGTGGGCCATCCAGAGCTCGCTGGAGGAGCATCCCACGGTGCAGGGCCCGACTGCAATCGGGCAAAGCTTGGGCACTCCAGTCTCGCCGCTGCGCTGCAACTGCTCAGAGTGGATTTGCAACGCCCTTGCTGACGCTGGCGTGACTCACGTGTTCGGCGGCCATGGCGGCGCATTGGCGCCGTTGGTGAACGCGGTCGTAAGGCACCCAAGGCTCGAGTGGGTGGTGGTTCGCAACGAGGCCAACGCATCGCTCATGGCCGCTGCTTACGGCAAGCTGACAGGTAAGCTGGGCTGCTGCATCGCCACATCAGGCCCGGGCGCGACGAACCTCACCACTGGCCTCTTCGACGCCATGCTGGACCAGGTCGCAATGATAGCCCTCACGGGCCTCAAGCCCAGGGCTGGAATGGGGTACAGCGAATTCCAGGACTTCCAGCAGAGCCGCATGTTCGCGGCTGGTGGCCTGCCCCTCAGCGCGGACGTCGCCAGCCCGGAGGCGCTCCCGCCGATGCTGCGCGACGCGGTGGCGAAGGCGCTCACGATGCGCACCTGCGTGCACCTAGGAGTGCCAGTGGACGTCCAGGAAGCCGAGTGCCCAGTGCCCGTCAAGAAGTTCTGCGCGGCAGGTGCCCGCAGCAACATCTCGTTCCCGGAGACGCACCAGTTCGTCCTGGACAATGTGGCAACCGAGATCAAGCTCGCCGCCAAGAGAGGCCACGGCCGCGTCCTGATCGCCGTTGGCCACCGCTGCGTCGAGGCCGGAGCGCACATCCTGAAGCTCGCGGAGCGCATCCACGCGCCCATTCTCACACGCTTGGATGCCAAAGGCTGTTGTGACGAGTCTCACCCTCTGGTGTTGGGCGTCAGTGGTGTGCATGGCAAGCCAGGCCTGGAGAGCGCTGCGTTGCTAATCGAGACTTCGGAGCTCGTGCTGTCGTTCGGCAACCATGACGACACAATCGTCCTGTGCAACAGAGCGGGACTGCAGATCCGCCCAATGATTCAACAAGCTTACGCCACATCCGCCGATGATAATGAGGATGAAAATGAGGATGAGGATGAGGATGATGATGATGATGATGATGATGATGATGATGATGATGATGATGATGATGATGCTGATGCTGATGCTGATGCTGATGCTGATGCTGATACTGATACTGATACTGATGCTGATGATGATGCTGATGATGGTGATGGTGACGGTGATGGTGATGATGGTGATGATGGTTATGATGATGATGATGATGATGATGATGATGATGATGATGATGATGATGATGATGATGATGATGATGATGATGATGATGATGATGATGATGATGATTGTGATGCTGATGATTATCATGATGGCGATGAGGAGGATGATGATGATGAGGATGATGTTGATGCTGATGATGATGCTGACAGCGCTGACGATGATGCTCACGATGCTCATGCTGATGATGTGGTGACCCCTCTATTGTATGTCGCCCCATGGTCTTTCTGGTACGTCCAGGTAGCGTCGCTTTGCCGGCCCGCCCCGCCCCGCCCCTGGGGGGCTCGCCCGTGAAGGGCGAGGCAGGAGGCCCCTCCTCCTCCTCCTCCTCCTCCTCCTCCTCCTCCCTCCTCCTCCTCCTCCCCCTCCTCCTCCCGCCTCCCTCCTCCTCCTCCTCCTCCTCCTCCTCCTGCTTCATTGGTGCGTCTTGGGCCTCCGTGGGCGGTCATCGGAAGGTACAACTCGTGGAGGCCCTTCGGCTGCCACTTCTCGCCGTCTCGTGCCTTGTCCTCGTCGTCGCCGTCGCCGTCGCACGGCCGTCGTGGTCGTCGTCCTCCTAGGGTCCAGTCGGGCGTGCCCCTCTACAAGATGAGTATTCAAAAATAGTAACAAACATAAAATGGGGACGATTTGTTTTGTACATGTTTAGTTGTTTTGGCATGTTGTTTGACTATTTCTTATGTTTGTCCAAAATCCGCACGTCGGAGGACATGTCCTACCTAATCCTAGGAGTCAAGGTCGAGCCTCGGGGACACCGACGACGACGGAGCCAGCGACGGCCAGGGTGACGCACCGAAGCATGGTCTGTGGTTGGACGGCCCGGCGTTGAGCTAGTGGGTTCCGAGCACCTTGCAGGGTACTCGTTGAGCCCGGTGGTTCCGTGGAGCCCTCTCGGGTGTGCCAGTTGAACCGGCGGTTCCGATGACCCGTACGGGTGCTCGTTGAACCGCGGGTTCTGGAGCTGCGGCCACGTCCCACAATGCGCCCAAGACGGCCCAAAAAGCGGTCACCGGGTGCAGTACATTGGCCCATACGTAGATATCGCCAGGCAGCATGAACACGGGCTTTCAAGGTGGTCTAGGACGTTTTCAAGGGGGCCGTCTTGAAAGTCTTTTTGGCCGACTATCTTGGAAGCATTTTGGGCGCTCTCAGATCAATCTTGAGGTCCTGATCGGACGTTTTTCAAGCAGTGGCGAGTCGTCCTGGCGTGCCTATAGGCCGACCAAACACTGTTCTAAGAACCTTGTGCGGTTTCCACGAAATGTTAGAACGTTTTTAGCTGGGACTGTCTTGTTCCAACACAACGGGTTTATGTTCTAAGAACTTTTTTTGTTATTAGAACATTTTCTGGTTCTAAGAACATGTCCTGGTAGGCCCATAGGAATGCCGGGACTGTCGGTCCCTGCTCAAGTCTTCGAAGGCCCACAAAGAGCAAACCCCGCACACCTGCAAAACCTATGGAACATCTATGGTGTTGGCCTCTCTGGGGTTCCCTTTATGTCCCCTTGGGGGCCTCTTGGGCTGTATTGGAGGTATATTGGGAGTTTCTTGGGCCGTCTTGGGCTAACCTCATGCCCGTGAGAATAAACACTAGGGGATAATAAAGTTCGGGGTTCAGGGAGAGATAGTAAAAGTAGCCCAGCAGACCTCAGCATAATCTCGAAGTAAGAGATGATCAAGAGGAGACCAAGCCGAGCACGTTTTGAGACATCCTTGGCGTTTAGTTTTCATAGAAATATCCTCAACAATGGCTTATCTCTCATGAAAATTGTTTTTTGTAAGTGCTCGTGTAGGGTAGCTCATGTGCCTCAATTTCCATGGATAATCAACCCCAGAGATAAAAAAGTTCAGGCGAGCGTGGGGACAGAGAGAAATATAAAAGAAGAAGAATACAGTAGAAGAATAATAATAAAGAAGAAGAAGAGGAGAATAAGAAGAGGACGAAGAAAGGAAAAATCCAAAGTTCCAAATCTATCAATTTTAATTTACAAACGCTTTATGAACATTGATTTTTTAAGTGCTCGTGTAGGGTAGCTCATGTGCTTCATTTTCCATGGATAATCAACCCCAGGGATAAAAAAGTTCAGGCGAGCGTGAGGACAGATAGAAATATAAAAGAAGAAGAGGAAAGTAGAAGAATAATAAGAACATTGCTCGTTTCGTTTGAGTCTGCCTCCCAAAATTATTGGTTTCGCTTGACACATCCTGAAAAAGTGTGATCGCTTCGCTTGATGTTGCTATATCAACATCGCTTGATGTTGCTATCTCAACATAGCGTTTCGAGGTGATAATGAAGTTCGGCCTCAGCGCTCGCCGCCCAATTTGAATTTTGTATAGGGCGACGATAATCAACTCTAAACACTGAAGGGGGGGGTCCCTTTATTATCATCGGCATGCGGCTATCTTGAAACACTCTTGTGCCGCCTTGGGTGCATTTTGGGCCGTCTCAGAGACATCTTGGGGCCATTTTGGGCTGTTCTGGGGTCACTTCGGCTGTCATGGAGGCATCCCGGCAGGTATGCTGGGCAGTTCTGTCCGTTTTCGCGGCCGTATGGGACCGTCTTGGCGCCGTCTTGGGGCCATCTTGGAGGCCTCTTCGGCCGTCCTGGGGCCATCTTGGAGTCCTCTTGGGTGCTCTAGGGGCGATGTTGAAGACCTCTCGGTCCGTCTTGGGCCGTCGAAAAGGTGTCACACAACCAAGCCCCAACGTCCTTCAACAACCAAGGGAACACAAACGATTTTGGCTTGAGGACTCGTGGGCCGTCTTGGAGGCCTCTTGGAAACTTCTTGGACCGCCATGGGCCATATTGGGCCATGTCGGGTACATGTGGGGTCAGATTGGAGCCATACTGGGTTATCTTGGGTTCTCTACTCTGAAGGACGAAGGGCAAAGGCGACAGGTATCGAGAGTTTGTCCGCGGTCATTTTGGCCCAAGCGACCGGCCGCCTATCTGACCGGGCCGCACCGCGGCCCGCAACCTTACATCGAGACAGAAAAGGTTCGACCCTTTATTCCTGAGATGCTCACTCGCCGCTCACGCGGCTCCTTCCTACCTCTGGCACTATCGCTAATACGATGCAGCAGGGTTGGACGTATACTTCGCCTTAACAGAAGTATCTGGCTGGGTCTCCTAACTGGTGTTATACATGGTAACGGAGCTGGCCGTGGGTGGTCAGCTTGAGGTCCACCCCTTGCTATCCACGGCGCTAGCCGGTGGACTACTGATATGGTGGACCATGATGGCGCAGTGGTGACCATGGCCATCGCAAGGACTTTTGCACTGAAACTTCTACTCACGCAGAGGTCTCCTACCTGAACCTGAACCTTATCACTCTGCGTTATTATGCTCCTGAAATCCACCCACCAACGCGAATTTTCAACTTCTTCGAATATACCATGCATGGTGACATGCGTTATGACATCGCGCCGCCTGCACCTCTTCGCAAACAGACGGCAACGTCACCTCACAAACGACAGCCACCTACATCCGATGCCGACCTACGGGGCCACTGGATTGGCATCACCATCTTTGGCCTCCCTTGGGTCGCCATCGGATGTGCTGTTGCAAACGACGCGCGCACTACCGGCCCCCATTGGGACCCTGTGGGTGACGTACAGTTCCGCGAGTTCGCTCGCGAGGTACATGCCTGGATCTATCGGACCACAGGCACTTTGACTCCCTCCCAACAGGCCGCTGCTCTACAGCGTGGCATCGGAGGTGTCGCAAGGACCATTGCCATGAGAGCCCCCTCAGCAAGAATCAACATTGGAGTGAACATTGGTGGACGCCACACCGATGGGGCCACCCACATAATGTTCCTCCCCAGCACTAATTTCGACAATCTAAAGGAGGAAAGACGACTGAGTTCGGGGACGGCCCTCATCGACTTTCGCGTCCATGCGGGAGAACGGATCGACCAGATGCTTGCGCGTTTCGAGATTGTTCGCTTCGAAACTGACACCGCGGGGTTCAACATCCCAAACTTTCGAATCCTGATAGTCATGCTGTTCAGGGCACTGGGTGTCGGTGCTTCGCGTGCGCAATAACTACTACAACCATTGAACCACCAAATGCTATGGACTCAGCCACAGGTCGACTCCTTACTGGAGCGCACGTGGGCTTGCTTCCATATTGTTTAGCGAGCCCATGGTAACATCAGCGGCGCGTTCAACACCGCGCGGATTCCTTTCATAGTGACACTCATGTCGGGCGACCTGCCAGCGCCATCTGGAATGGCGATCTAAAGCCAAACGAGGCCACAACTCTTATTAAGCCAGCAAGGTGGCCAGCCCACGGGGTCGCAAGACTTTCCGGGCCCAATGTCAGGGGCCGTCGGCAACGGCGGCCCCCACCCAAGCCATTACTTTTAGTGGGCCTGGCGGGGCAGCCCGCAGAGTTCGATTTTGACTCAGGCGCCGAGACTGACGCGTCGCCAAATGAAGGGATTGGCAATTTCGACTTTTCTGATGCGCCTGCGCACCTCGTCGAAGAACACCAAGCACAAGGGCTATTCTTGGGCCGTCAGAAACATTAGCGCCGATGGAGACGATTCGCGAAGAAACCAATTCGAAGGGTACGACGTGCAGTTCGACGCGCGCTTAGGTCAAAGGGTAAAGGTAGCGGCGCAGGTAAACGACGGCGGTTGCATGGCAGAGGCATGCTGACATTCCCGGCTTCCCTTGCGGGACCACGGCATGATGGCATCTTCTCGGGCAAGGATAGAGGCCGTAGGCTCGCCTCAGGAGAAGG